AATTTTAAGACAATTATTGGAGCTATTATCGAGATCTTTGATATTTTTTACTCGTTTAAAGGTGTTAGATATATATTTAAGTGGTTTTGTGATAGTTAATAGAGCATATTTTACGTATAGTACTTATACCGTGAAATTGAATCTATTGTTAACCTTTTTAGTAGATTTTAGGCCCTATTTCGATGTTGAGTTTGTGTGGACATGCCAATAAACTGTTAGTCCTTTTTATTAAACTTAGAATGAATAACAGAGATACACTTATTAAGTAACACTTAATTTTCGTCACTTCTTTAATAAGACTTGTATCAGAGTAGACTTTTGGTACTACTTTTCCCCGATCAAAAAATCGAACCGATACACCTTGTTCGGTAGTAACATGACCACACGACTAACGAGGCCTGACATAACTTGACTTTTCAAAAAAAAAGGCTAATGCCGGAATACTGAAACGTTACTCAATTTTAAGTCGTGCTTAAATATCGTGCTATCTCTGTCATTTTACAAAGAATTTGTAGAGACAGAACTTATACTTAAGCACGACTTAAAATTGAGTAGCGTTTGAGTATTCCGACATAAGTTTATAATAATCATGTACTTAGATAAAAACTTGTCGAAGGATACGGGCGCCGTCAACTAGGACTGGTCAGCTCCAGACTGCATTATTTATTGTCTTTAAGGTTATTTCCTTTTTCGACCTCTTTGACTGGATTTTGGTGTTACATTGTTCTCGCACAATCGAACCAATAAAACTGTAACTGGAGAATTGTATTGTGAACCGGATTGGAAAATAGTAACCTATGGAGTTTCTTGCTCGTTCTTCTCCATAGGTATAGATTCAAGGTATAGATTCACCTTGGAATGAGCAAATAGCTTCACTTTTAATTTTTTATTGCTGACGTTCAAAAGTGCCTTCCTGGTCTAATTGAAATAAATGATGTTTACTTTGACTTTGACTTTGATATGGTAAATTAAAATATAGAGATAATATTGGCAATTGTCCAGATATCAGCCAATAACCAGCAATGGTTGTATTCTGGTCACATAATACGCAGGAACGTTATGAATCGCAATTCAAGGTAAACCAAGGTTAAACTGTATTGACATAAGGGGTTAAATATAGTGATTTATTGTGCTCCTGAATTAGTTATTGAAGTTATTGTGTTTTGAATGTAACGTAAATTGATCACAAGATTTAGAATCGAACATATCATCATTAAACTGTCAAACACCAAGCGGTCACCGGTGACCGCAACCTATTGTTCTATAATTGTGTCTATAATGACGGTACCCGACGAGTTAAATCTTAAAGGTGTGTATGTACTATAAAAATCAATGAGGGCGCCACAGGTCGTAGGTGTTCACTTCTGACAGATCACTACATAGTATAAAACAAAGTCGCTATTCACCGTCTGTCTGTCCCTATGTATGCTTAGATCTTTAAAACTACGCAACGGATTTTGATGCGGTTTATTTTAATACATAGAGGATTATTAAGGAAAGTTTATATGTATAATACATGCATATTGCACCCGTGCGAAGAAAAATATAAACAGTGATTTGAGTCCTACCCGTCATAGCCAAAATTCAAGCGAAAACATAATCTTAATTTTATAAAAATTGTCCACCTTCTTGTTCTATTGAAAATCACTTTATACTTGAAACACAATCAGTGGAGCTTCACTCCGAATTGTTCTTTTCCATGTTTTTAAAGAAAGAGAGAAAAAAAACTTTATTTCACGCCAAAAATCAAGTCATTGTATCAGTAGGTAATGATGGATATATGTTCATGTCTCATGTCTGCCGCGAAATGGGACCAGTTCAGCATGTGCAAGACAGGACCTTGCGCTGGTATTCTACTGGTCGAATAAACTTCTTCCAAATTTTATTCACTTCAATTCCAATCTAGTAAGTAAGGTAGCTCAATCACAGCTGATGACAATCAACGTACTTTCATTGAGTGTTTTTGTTTGTTATTTGATAGGCGGACGTTTGGCCGCTATCTCACCTGCTGGTAAGCAATGATGCGGTCTACGATGGAGCACGTCGTCCCATAAGCAACTTATTCACTTGGGAATTGAAGACACCTAGTTTATACCATTCAGGAATTCAATGTTGCCATAGTTTGAATGTTGTAAATTCCATATTTAACTAAAATCGCACGTTACTCACGCGAATATACTGAGAAAAGCTCTACTAGTTTCGAACCACAGAGGGGTTCTTCCTCATGAGCAGCGTGCGCGGTCGCGGCGACGTCGCGCAGCTCACTCAGTGAGCGACCGCGATTTTAGTTAATTTTGTATGTCTCACGATTGTAAACTATAGTCCTATGTTTTTAAAACTCGTCATAGTTAATATTCACACACACACATGCACACTGAAAACATCCAATTATCTACCACTTACTTATATAATAATAAACGAAGCTTTTCTTTCTCAATAGTATATTTCAAGGATCAATACTAGTTGTATAGGAAGGGAATATAAGTATCTACCCACGTAGGTTCTTGTTCTTATTTGTTGGGAAACGGGTCAGGGTCGCAACTGACGCGATCTTCCTTCAAAAGGCTACTTTAGTAGTTAGTTGGTATCTGTTAATTGGCTCTTAATATCTAAAATTAGAATTAGTTGATATTTTTTCTTTAACATGAGGGAGATGGGACTGTATTAGCTATGTGGTAATTATGTTATTAAGTTCTAGTGTTTTAAAGGGACTTATTAATGACTAAACTAAGAATATTTTTCCACGAATGGGCTGGCTTAACCAGAGTGATACCACGGCGTCACAGTAAACCGACGTGGAACAACAACGTGGAGTGAGGTTACCGGAGACCCAATTATCCCACGCCGCTTCCCCCAATCACTGAATCTCCAACAATCCTCAAATTCCTAATCTCCAAATTGCCGGTAATGCACTTGTAACGTCTCTGGTGTTCCGGGTGTCCATGGGCGACGCCGATTGCTTACCATCACCTGATCAGTCTGCTAGTTTACCGGTTTAGCCCATAAAAAAAATCTAACACAGCATCACATTTTTCTTCAAAAAGATAAATGGGATAATGGGACATATTCAACGTAATCAATGGTCAATTATTGCGACATTTGTCTAGCAAGATTCATTGTAACTAAACTCAATACTATTGTCGTATATCGGTCACAATTCCAGGTTTCAACACAATATTGCAAATTTTCCAAAACTGAACATCACTTAACTATTTACACGACTTTGAAATGGAATACAGGATTCCTAACCCCTCGACCAACGAAAGTAAACTAAGTCTAAACATGTGGCTTATAACATTCAGGATACATCAAAATGGATGAAGCATTTAACAATTTACTAAAGGGGCCACAAGTTCAATTTTAACAAAGATACCAAGATCAAAGATCGCCATTGTTAATCCAGTATTAACTATTAATGGTTTATTGTTAACTAAATCTTTGTCTAAAACATGTTGATGTTACAACCTTAAACTTTATATCAATGCCGTTAGAATGGGCCAGGAAAACCTACCAGGTATAAAATAAGGCATAGGTACCTACAATTTTGTGATCATCATAAATTGTCTGGACCTGCCTTTTTTGTTAAGGCGATGTTGATGTGGCTTGTCTTACATTTTTTATGGGATAACCGGCAAACGATCAGACGGATCACCTGATGGTAAGCAATCGGCATCGCCCATCGACACCAGGAGCGTAAGTAGTGCGTTGCTGACTGGAGGTTTGGAATTTGAGGATACTTAAGTAAGTCCAAAAATTATCTATAGGTAAGTATGTTTTTATTATACCTATCGTGAGACATACTAAATTAACTAAAAATCGCGGGTTACTCACGTGAATATACGGAGAAAAGCTCTACTAGTTTCGAACCACAGATGGGTTCTTCCTCATGAGCAGCGTGCGCGGTCGCGGCGATGTCGCGCAGCCTACTGGCTGTAGTAATTTGGGTAAGTATTGCTTTTGTCTAATTCTTTGGTGATAGTTAACAGGGAATTAGGTTACACATTTTACAATTCGATTTAATTAAATATTAACAAACACGTTTTGGTAACACATTGGATATCTGTGAGAATAAATGTTTCTTTTCATTCTTTCTGGTAATCAATTTTCTTTTGGTCTTCTCCCAACCATCATGATGACTTTGTTTAACTAGATTCCACTCAAAGGTAGAGATTTACATGAAGTTACTATCATGCTTAGAATATGCTATATCTAGTGATAGAAGATTAGTTCGAAAGAGTGTCTAAGTAAACTGCATTCTGTGTTAAGGCCTTGACCCAACCATCTAAAATAAGCATCATCAGGTGTTAGTCTTTTTGTTAGCTTTATTATTATGTAACCACATAAATATCCACCTTAATATTTGTAAGCATACTTCGAACAAATCGGCTCCATTGAGGTCAAGGTGCAGTCTATGCATTGTTGATTTTTCTCTTAATAAAATCATGGAGGCTGGTATGTAGTGTTAGATACAACTTGAGTTATGGTAATGATGCTAAGTTTATGTGAAGATGTAATTATGGTTGAAATATTAAAAAGGACTTTGTGTTGTGGTGTCTTGTTCGAAAATTGAGATAAAATGAACGGTTTCGTTGTAACTGACGATTTCATTTTACACACATTGCGAAGTGTTAGTGATTTCTAGGATGTGCAAGTCAAATTAAGGCTTTGCTCGAAAAAGGAAATGAGTTCAAAAGATTAATGATATCATCGTTATTGATGGAATGATTCACTATATCCTAAAGACAGATCGTAAACGTGTGCAGTGACAAAATATAATTTTCTCAAACAAAAGTTAGTAAAACTTTACAATTAGTATATCTGAGCAATCATTTTATACTGCTTATAAAAATAGAGAACAAATCTTTCCGATGCGTTAACGAGTATCATTGCAAATTAAACTAATTGATACAACATTATGTTACTCCATTTTCATGTCAAAGAACATGGTCGTCCAACAAAAATCAGAGAAGAATATAATAAGGCTATAAATCTATACTCACCTATCAGTCTGCCTGTGAACGAGCCGCTGCATCATCCAGGGTTGCGAGAGCGGCGGCGGCGGCACCAGCCCGCTGCCCAGCGCGGCCAGGGCTGTCAGCATCTGCTGAAACTGCACACACATGTCCGTGTAGCCCTGCCGTTGTAACATCGACATTAAACATACAATTTATAAGAACTGTGGAAACTTTTTCTGTGTAAGGACCATCACTAGATTTTTACAGATTTATTTCTGTATTTTGTTTTCTTGTCCTCGGATTATATTCTATCTTTGTGTCATGTTGTATCTGGATTTGTTTAGCAACATTGAGGTGATTATTATTCACTTGTGAAGGGTAGGTAGTGTACCAACTACGGGCCCTTTGGAATATAAAAGTAAGTACCCAAATCTAATAATTTATTCGGGGTTCGGAGCAAATATATCCTTTCTACACGTACACACACCTCCCATATGTCTTATGATTGTTAAAATATGGCTAACAAAACGAGGAAAGAAACTTCTAATTGCTATTGATTTCTTTTTTTGAAGAATTGCAGTTGATTTGTTTGTTCATTCGCATGATGATCGTATATTTATAACAAATATTAAAATGTTCTTGAATCAATCATACCTGTGCTATAGTCTGAGGGTTCTGCGCCTGCAGTTGTAGTTGGAGGAGGTGCTGCAGCAGCGGCGGCGCGGAGGCCGGGCTTTTTGCGCCCGACACCGAACTGCTGTCTGACTCCGACGCGGGACTCTGTAGGAGAAAATAATAGAAGTTAGTAAGAGTTTAACATA